CCGCCTATTCCTTCAGGACCCGTGGATGCATCTCATCAGGTCCCATGGACTTGTGCACCTTTAGGTTCCTTAGATGGTCTGGAACCTGATCTTCTCCTACAGTGGGCGGTTCTTCATTCTTGCAGTCCCACCTTTGCCTTGATTATGGTCATTTCTTCATGATCTTCACTATAAATGTTGTTTAGAAATTATATTGCTTCCTATGAATGCTGGGGAGAGATTTCTTGATTTTTTCAGATGTTTTATCTATGGCTACATTTCATGCACAGCATCGAATCTTGCTGGCATCAAAAACATCATTTTCATGATTGTTTTACCTTTCTTTATCATTCCACCTATCATCCGTCTCTGCTCTGTCTTGTTCTCTCTGAACAAAATTTTACCCTCAAGAAGGGACGTACCCCACAGCCGGGGTAATATTAGTTTATATTATATCCTCCTAATATCAAGTTGCCTCACAACAACCTCAACAGCAGTTTCTCTGGCAGAAAACAGAAAGTGTGTATAACATGTTTAATCTTCCCCAAGAAAACTGATAGTACAGGGAGGAACTAAAGCCAGGACTCCTGAGTGCCAATGCTTCGGTACTTGTGAAAAGTGGTCCAGTCTTCATCCTTAAATATTGTCTCACTGGAACTTGCTGAAATAACCATGGGGGTAAGCCACTGCAGCCAGAAAACAAGCTAAGCAGTGCCGAGCTAAATGTCAAAATACCATTATGGTGATAGGAGAACCTGACAGCTCAGAATCAAGACCTTTCCCTTTTGTGAGATTTAGGATTTCAATGCCAAGAGGCATTGCATTGCCTGTGGAGTGCATTTTCACTTGTACTTACTCTATGGTAATCAGTAAAGTTGGTGCTGTCCTTACAGCTGGTATAATATATTAACCATATTCTTCTAAAACAACCTAAAATTGCCTTTTATCCCCATGTTTCTCCTGAGTGTGACCAAAATAGACCTTTAGGAGACCAAAACTCTTCTGAGATCTGAGAGGTGATGTGCAAACAGAAGAAAAGGCTGTTTCTAATATAAGGAATAGGTAAGAAATGTGCATAGAAAATGCAAATGCTCTGTAAGTTAGGGTCTTCAGCCCAAATTAAGGCAGTAAGAATCAAAGAAAATGGTCATTGCTAAAAAGTGATGTCAAGAATGAATTTTTCACCTGACTGGCTAGGACACGACACAGAGCAACACCAGGCTGGCTTAGCTGATCAAAAAAAATCAAAAATTAATGTTAAGATTTGGATCAAGCCTACCTAGAAATGCTAATAAACATAGCACATCTATTTACTATGTTTGTGATAACTTAGCTTCACACTAGTAATTAGATTTCATAATATGGACTCTGTCCTGCACCAGGGCTTCTCTGGAACTGAACTTATGTCCTGCTTTGCAGCTCCTTCCTACTTAAGAATTTCTCCACAATAGTAGTAATGAAGCATTTGTTTCCTTACAGTTTAAAAGTTTGAGCAAGACTTAGCCCGAAAGAGCTGCTATCTATCAGATTTTCTGAACATCTCCAAACTTATAAGACTATTTCCAGCACTCATGCTTTTTCTCATCAAATATTTATATCACAGTATTTTGTATTACTTATTTCATATTCATATTTTCAGTTAAGAGGTTTTGAAACCTTTGGACATTTTATTTTCTAAAAGTGATTTCTTGATATCTTTTTGCTCACACTTCAAGTCTGGGTTCAACATTGATTGCAATTCCCAAACTTGCAAAGGGCCTTTCTTAAAGTGTGACGGGTGGGGTTGAGTGAGGTGGAGAAAGGCTTTGTAGAAATAGCTGCCTTTCCTAAGTATGAAAGGGAAGAGTTGGTCTGGAAACCACCTCCATCCCTGATATGCCTTGGTAGTATATAAGCACTTTCTCCACAGTAGTATCACTGAACTGCTTTGAAAACACAGGAAGAAATTCACACTGGGCTGTATTTCCTCTGTGGGCATTGCCTAGGAAGACTTTTTTCATAGGTGTCTTCCACCTCTTTACAGTCTCCCTATGTGCCTGATTTGGAAGTTCACCTCTGGCTTTGCCTAGACCTATCCTATTCCCCAAAATGTCATCTGAAATTCGGTGATAAGTAGCTTACAGAACTGACATTCCTTTCTTTAGTTCAATAAGATTTTACTCTTCACAATCCTGTAAAGCAAAAGATGGTTAATAACTTGGAGCCAGTTCAGTGAAAAACTGCAAGCTTTGCCTGAGACTGATTTGGAGTGATATATTGCAACACAAATCTGGTTAATCTAGAAAAGAAAGACTGAGGGCAAGAGAACACAATAACAGTATTGCAGAACAGAAAGATTGTTACAGAGAAGAAGGCAATCAATTATTATCCATACCCACTTTGAAAGGATAAAAAGAAAGCTTAATCTGCAAAGAAATAGATTTGGGTGGGATACTTGCAAAATCTGCCAAAGCTGTCAAACTGATGAGCCACTGAAACAGAGGCGTTGTAAAATCTCTCAGCGGATGATCAAGGGCTTTCATGAAAGAATTCAATAATCTTTCAAGGGCTTCCCTGGCCCTACTTAAATGTGGTTAGTCATTATATTATGACATGGGCTGGAAAACAACACTTTTGTGTACATGTACATAGATATACACTAATACTATACATGTAGGTACACTAATATACACATCATAAACTACTAGTATACATTAATAATATACATTATCAATAAACATGTGCATGTATACAATTATATGTCACTTCAACTTGTATCGAATGTTTACTCTCCCTGACTGTTCCTGAGCCGCAGACAAGGCTCATTGGAAATGCTGAACATGTTCTCCAGTCTTTTAAAAAATAGAGAGTGGCAGTCTGAATGACTTTATTTAAATTAATTTGCATTCTTCCTACCTGAATCAGTCAGTCAAGAGATACGCTAGGCCTGAGTCCTGGATGCACAATCTGGAAACACCAGCTCAGGGAGCTCATGCACCTTCCTCCAGTAGCAGAGCACGTGACTGGACATATTGGAACACGAGCAGAAGAGTCAGCCCTTCTCAGAACTGCATAACACATCTGCATGTGTGGAAAAAGCTAAGGGACTCCAATTACAAGCATAAGTAAAAATTGATTTTCCTAATTGTGGTCTAGCACCAGGGACACGTGTGTGTGCTGACACAGCAGATTTACGTCCCCAGTTGTCTGTGTGATCCAGCAGCTTCTTGGCTATTCGTCTGTATAAGGTGGGATAACGGACCGGTTGGACACAATGGACTAACTGGAAACCACCCTGAAAGCAGGAGATTGACTAAACCTTCACAATTAAACATTGATAGACTCTTACAGGAGTTAGGAATTTGGGGCAGTTCTAGAAATTCCGAGATGCAACGCCTGCTCTGTCTAGTCTGATTTATAAGTTTAAGTGTGTTAACTAATAATCTGGGTGGGGTGTCCCATCCAGGACCTTTTCTAGGTGATATCTGCTGCTGAAGTGATTAAATTGTGCATAGATAAGACATTTTCAAATACGCAAAAAAAATTCCTTTCAGAAATTGTCTTTTGTAGGTAGGTTAGATATTTAAGAAATGTTTTGTAGAGGCTAAAATATACCAATAGTTATGAATTATGTAGGACTGGGGTTGTCACATGGGATCATGAGCCAGCCAGGTTATAACTGAGCAGAACAGTCATGTGAGGAGTCTCTGCTGAACTAGCTGAAGACACTGCCATGAGGACCCTTGCAGTGGAGACTCCTGCCACCACCAGCAACTAGCTGTCTCTTTTGGGAGATTTGAGACTGTGTGCGAGCATCACCCTATGCAAACATCCCAATAAATTAGTTTCTTCTTTCTCAGTAGGCACTTTGCCACGAATGTCCATGCAATGAATGAGTGAAAGCCTGTCTGCTTGCTTAGGGCCTAAAAGATGACAATCTTGAAAACAATCCATCCCTCCACTCCCACATGTCTTTGGTTGTGGGAGAAGGTTATATATTCCACAAACCGTTTTGGTGGCTGCTGTTGTACAGCCCTGACTGTATGACATGCACAGATGTGAATCCATTATGCGACAGGGTAAGGCCTTTTGGAAAAAGAACAGTCAGCTCTGGGTCAGCAGAGCAGCTCGTCCCACAGTCTGTCCTGGGGGATCTTCAAAAAAGAGCTGAAATGGGCCACGAGCCAGATGAGTCATCCTGGAAACCTGCTTCTTTGTCACATATAAATGCTTATCTCTGAGTTTGTATGTGAAGTTTTCAAGGAACTTTGAGACCCAGTCCCATTTGTCAAAATGATGTAAGGACTTCAATGCCACAGACTGTTGAGAAGACTCTGAGATTCCAAGTCTCTTTAAAACTTAGTTCCCGTTAACTATTGTAACCCTATTAACATACAAACTGGTCTCTGGCTAAATCTTTCCCATAAAACATTTCTCAGGTGTGCATCAGCTTGTATTATCCCAGTCTTTAATCTCTGACAACACAGCTAAGCTTTGTCTAAATACTGTCCTTCCAGCTAAGTGGCGTCAGGTATTTCTTCATATTTTTTTGCTTTATTTACTCTCCAGCTTTATTATTAATTTTACAGTTTCTGAATGCCAAGCACACAGTGTCTAAGTTTTGATAAATAAACAATAATAAAAATCTGATCCTACTTGCTGCTGAGGACTTTCAAATTCCTCTGGCCTATAGCTGTTGAACAAGATACCGCTGCCTGAATTGCAGTGCCTGATATGTTCATAAGTGATTTAGTGAGAAGCTTATAATGGAGGTAACAAGTAGGATGGAATTTTAAATAATCAACAGGGAAGATTAAAACATCAGAGGAAAGAATGTCTGGAAGGGAAGGAGAGAGAAGGGTCCACATTCTGGACTCAGGTTCGTAATGTGAACTATCTCATGGTCTGAGGTAGACATTTTAGAGGGAAGGGTCACATCTTAAATTGCCAGTTATCCAGCTCTTTAGGGCAGAGCTCAATCTGTTTCCTGTGAAGTACTAGTTCAGACTGATACTGACCCTTTGGTTTCCTCTTTGTTTTAGGAACGGCTGGTGCTTTCTGTCTTACCACGGTTTGTAGTCCTTGAAATGATAAACGATATGACCAACGTAGAAGATGAACATTTGCAACACCAGTTTCATAAGATCTACATTCATCGTTATGAGAATGTCAGGTGGGTGGAGAAGCCTCTTTTTAATGTTTAAGGTTTCAGATGCTGCTAAGGGTGTCTTGTTTGAGAGTTTCCCTTCTGTTGTTTTATTCATTCAAAAATTAGAAAGTTAGTATACCGTACCCTTGTTGAATCCTTGAGCAGATAAGCACTTTGGTGCCTTTTTTACTCATCAAGTTGGCTATATGTCTTTGCTATGGCAAGACCCATTTGAACTGAACACGAGGCCTGAACCATTTGTGTGTTTTTTCACTTTAATTAAGTGGTCAAGGTTGCACAGAAAGGGGAGCCCTGCCTGCACATGGACACATACTCTGCCACAACTGTCTGGTTGACCCCACACACTGAGAAATGAGATGAAGGCTTGTAAGGTGCTTTCAAAGATGTAGACATGCCATGTGTCTCCTCTGTTTAGTAGCCATTTTCATTCAATCATTCTTATTATCATTTTCCTAATTACATTTCCCTTTTTTATTCCCCCCTTTATATTTTTTCTCTACTAAAATTAGTTAGTGGGAAGGTGTTAGTTATCCTATGTCAGGCAGAAAAGGACCTGGGGTTGTTAGTCAACAGCCGGCTGAACATGAGCCAGCAGTGTGCCCAGGTGGCCAAGAAGGCCAACAGCATCCTGGCCTGAATCAGAAACAGTGTGGCCAGCAGGAGCAGGGAGGTGATCGTGCCCCTGTACTCAGCACTGGTGAGGCTGCACCTTGAATATTGTGTGCAGTGTTGGGCCCCTCACTGCAAGAAGGACATTGAGGTGCTGGAGTGTGTCCAGAGAAGGGCAATGAAGCTGGTGAAGGGTCTGGAGAACAGGTCTGATGAGGAGTGGCTGAGGGGACTGGAGTTGTTTAGTCTGGAGAAGAGAATGCTGATGGAAGACCTTATTGCCCTTACTGTAGCAAGGTGGGGTTCAGTGTCTTCTAATTAGCAACAGGACGAGAGGAAATGGCCTCAAGTTGCTCCAGGGGAGGTTTAGATTGGACATTAGGAAAAATTTCTCACTGAAAGAGTGGTCAAACTTTGGAACAGGCTGCCCAGGGAAATGGTGGAGTCACCATCCCTGGAGGTGTTCAAAAAATATGTTGATGTAGCACTTCTAGGCGTGGTTTAGTCGACATGGTGGTGTTGGGTTGACAGTTGGACTTGATGACCTTAGAGGTCTTTTCCAACCTAAATGATTCTATGATTCTATAAGATGCTACTCAGGGTAACAAGTCCCAATTGTACATTTACATCACAATAATCAGTTTGTACTCCATGATGTTACAGAGTCTCTGATTTTATTGTGGCTCCTGACCATCAGTATATTTAGCTAAGCAAATAACATTTTCCATATGTCCCAAACCACAAGAGCAAATGATTGAGTGGCCATCACTGAAGGAAGTGAAAAGCATCCTTGGATATGATGGGAGATGATTTGCTAGGAAAGCTTATATTTTGCTTTTTGATGAAACCCAAACATAACTTTGTCTGGACACGTTCAATAAACATGATTTGAACTTCTGCAAAGCAGTAAAATGATTATCTGCTTCTTCTGTGGCCTTGTAGTAGCTCAGACATATCAATTAAATCTGGTGGAAAGTATCAAGGATGCTTACAAAAGGTTTGAATTAAACAAAATGAAAATGTCTTCCATTTCTTTTTCATTCTCAGAGTAAGTGTTGCTGTAGAAGTAACAAGATAGGGAGAAGAAGGCCCTTCTGTCTGAATGGAAATGAGTTGTAGTCAGGGGTGAAAAGTCAAAACATAATTTATGCTTGAAAGAGATTTAAAATGAAGACTGTGTGTGCTTTAGAGTACAGATACTGGTTGGGTCCTGCCAGGGATTAGATCTTTTCAAAACTAGGTTTCACCTTATTTTTTCCTAAATGTTGAGCACTGAACACTGCCTAAACCAATGAATCCCTAAAATTAGTATCTAGTTAGAGTTTTTTGTTGTTTTGATAATGAAAACTGTAGAAATTACTTGTTTGAAAATAATTTTTATCAATGTAGGCCATTATTAATATTCATTCCTCTTCAGCTAGTTTGGTATTGTATCTTTTAATTTTGGTTTTTCTCACTGGTAAAAATCTTATCCAGTTTGTGAGTCTCTTACTTAATCTTCCCCCAAACCCTTACCAGCTCATATATTTGAAGACGGTTTGAATTATTGTTAGCCATGTTTTATTGTTCCCCTGATTATTACTATATTTATTATTGGTTACATTAGTGACTCTCAGACACTATCAAATTGTAATCTTGTTCAACACGAATGAAAGATCTTCAGCTACTCAGACTGTAACAACGGTTATTAGTTGACTTTGAAGTGCTAACAAGGTGCATTTGAGTTATTTCCAGTCTGTGCCATCACGGTATGTGTCTTTTTGGACATCACTACTTTTTAAAGTAGACAATACTTTCCTTTCTTCAGTGCTAAGTACTGAGCTATTACATGCTTTGGTCTTGGTGACAGCGTGCACACCAGGCTCTGAGTGCGTGTGTATGTGTGTCTGTGTGTGTGTGTCTGTATGTTTCTCTAGATTCACATGTGCTCATTGTAGGCATAGTGAATAGCCAAAGTTGCATGGCTAGAAAATTCACTGCTGCTGAAATATAAGTTAGAGCTCTGTTTGGAACTAGTTTGTTGAGTAATAACCTACCATAAGTTCAGGCACCCAATTTGATGCACTTATATTCAAAGTGTGATCACACTGGGCTCCCTGTGAAGTCAATAGAAAGAACAAGAAATCCTCCAAATAAAGATTCATACCTTAAACAGAGGGTACTATACTTCTAACTCAGGTACTTCTGTCAAGTCCCCAAAATTAGGTGCAATAAAGCTGGTCTGAGCCTGGTACATATCAAGACTACCATTAATCTGTCTGTTGTCTTAGGATTTGAGTCTTGTATGGCACATAGATAAGTAAGGCCTGAAAATCACACTAAGAATTGAAATTGCTGAAGTCAAACCCACTGTAAAAAACAGCTATATGTAAACCCACCTTCAAAGAACACTGTCAGATACTAATAGACAGCTGGGTGCCAAGCCTAGCTGTTTATACAGCCCTCTATATTATGGGTACATTATGCCTCATTCTTTTCACTGATAAACTGGGACAGCTGTGCTTATTAAGGCTTCACTATATCTTCCTGAATGATTTCAAAATCCCAAACTGCATAACACACATTTTTGGCAAAACCCTTTCTCATACTTTGTAGTATTTCTTTGGTCCCTTCAATATTTATATTCAGTACTCCAGAATCTCCAAAAGTCTAGAGCAAATGTGGCGTGATTTTAAAATGATCCTTCACCAGTAAATTACTAGAAGGTAACTTAGGATACTCAGTTATCAAAGGAAATAGGCTGCAATATTAATATCTCTTCTTTTTTTTTAGCATTCTTTTTGCGGATGTTAAAGGATTCACCAACCTCTCCACAACTCTGTCAGCCCAGGAGTTGGTCCGAATGCTGAATGAACTCTTTGCCAGATTTGATCGACTAGCACATGTGAGTTAAACACAGTTTATTGGCAAAAGAATATGAAGTCAACTCTGTATTTGGAGGCTTTGAGAAATACCTTCTGATCACTTTGAATAATATTCATCCAGATTTTCCCCATTGGAAATCCACTGAAAGGCCTAAACAGAAATTTAATTAATATTAATATTTTCCTTAGGCAGAAATTTTGAGAAGGGAAATAAGATGACATTTGGTAAGACACTTAAGCCTAAAAAAGGCCCTGCTTTGATGAAATACTAGTTATTTTTGACGTTTGTTTTTCCTCTGCCGTCTCTGCAGTGCTAGATGTCAGTGGATACTATGATTCAAATTGTCATATTTCTAAATGTATCTACACTGTGTGCAGATTCAGTTTCAGATAGGACAAAAGAGAAAGAGTAAAACCTTGAATAGAGGAGCAGACATCTGTAAGCTTTGTCGCAACAGCAGCTAAGATGTAGTCCAACATCACTGACACCTAAAGACAAAACCAAATCACAGAATTTTATTTAGATGCATAGACAAAGACAAACACACAGTCTTAGATTTGAATTTAGACCCATCCTTAATATGAAGCATTGATGCTGAAACAGAAATCTTCCCCTGAAGTATTCAGATCCATGGGTTTCACATAAGGATAAAATCGCTGGCCTGTAAGACACTTCATCTCTTCTCAGTCTCATCAGCTCTCATGATAAAAATGAGTAACAATGCTTCTTACTCAGAGGAACTGTAGATGCTGAATGTAATATTCACACTGTAATACGAGCCTTTTTTCTCTTCATATCTATAGCCTGGTGTTAGAGGGAGAGTTATTTATGTAATGTGAATCACAGGTCACTTTTGCTTATTAAAGAGCTGATGTGTTGTTTTTTTTTTTTCTGAGAGGTGGTGACCTTGGTTAAATTCTCTCTTGGGAGACTGCAGACAACCTGACAAAAATTCCTTCAACACTGTATTCCTAAGTCTTACTTGTTACTAGCATTTCCAGAGGTAGAAACCAGCCTAACTAGCAGGGTCCACAAGAATGCATCCTCAGATAGCCCCAGTACAACACCTGCACCATCTGAGATTAAAGAAGGAAGACTGAAGGACCTTAAAGACTCTTTTGTCTCCTCAACAAAGACACTCCTGTTGCAGTGCTTTACTGTTCCTGGACACATTTAACCCCTGAGCTGGCAGTGCTTTGTTCTTTTGTGAAATGATCTTCAAGCACACAGCTCACAGGACTCTAGAGACTCCCTAAAAAACCCTGTCTGTTTAAACATATATGCCAGTAAACAAAGGTGTGAATTTATTCATGCGTATATGTTTGGGGTATGTATTAAGAAGCAGAGCTGACTGGATTATGAGTGTACACATGTGATATTTAGTTAATTATAAGGACATTGTAATAATTTATAGCAACGGGAGGGAGTGAATGCTTTTTTTGCAGTGCTTTATTCTAGGGTGTTTGCCCTCCTCACCAGTGTCAATAAGTAATTGTCCAATAGTAGTGAATAAACAACACTATTAAACAATGTTCTTAATAAAGTTACAGTATTTCAGACGCTTAAAAGCCCAGTAAATCACCAAAAGACCTGAACAGTCAAATAAAACCCCAGTCCATAAAACTCTTTTAGAAGAGATAGTCTACAAGCATTTTATGAAAAAAAAAGTCAGATGAAAATGACAGATTAAATAAAATTTCAGTTTCAAAATTTCTTGGTGATTTAGAAACTGAGAGTTACATAAATCCAAATCTAACACCCCCCACACCCACCCACTTTGTTGACTAAATTGGCATTTGAATGAAATTTAGGCTTCATAGGCATATTCTTGAGAAATGTCCAGTCAGCCTGGAGAAGTCCTAACCACCCCTCTACAGGCTATTCTAAAAAAAAAGAAAGCATTCCTTACACCATCTGTTAAACTATATAAAAAGAATTTAATACAGGGCTACATTTAAATATTCCCTGGTCCAGGCAGAGGGTGAAAGATTGCCACATTTTTTCCCTTTGTGTGTATAAAAAGTAGAAACAGTCCTTGCAACTGTGACCCAAACCTGGTCCTCCTTTCTGCCTGCATCACTGGACTCGAGAACTCCCCTCCATCTGGCTCCATCAAGGTCCCAGCTCTGTTTTCTAAAGCAACAGAGCTGCAATAGAAGGAATTTGGACCTCTCTCTCCAGCCCACCCCAAAACAGCCTGCTGATGAAGAGCTTTGGCCTAGACCCCATTTGTGCTAAGAAAGACCTTTTATCTAGGTTTCCTATACCTTTGGCAAATGTTTCAGGAACTGAGCTATTGCACACAGAGGCCAAGTCCCTGCCTCCTCCCACTCTGGTCACCTTTTAAAAGGACATTTACATGTATGAAGTCTTTGTTCTGCAGTTCAGCCTCAGTAATTTCTTATCCACAATGCTAAATTTTTAGCTTAAAATTATAAAAATTGTGAATGTGGACTTTTCTGTGGGATGTTCACTAGCCTACAGGATTCCCTTCAAAAGTAGGCAAAGTGATTAATTCATCACAGGCAGAATTGAAAAAGAGGCATAACATAAAACACAACTACTTTTTTCCCCTTGTCAGAAATTTAACCCAAGGAAACAAGAAATACTAATGAATTTTCTGACTGTGTCTTTCAGTAACTTGATATTTGAGTAACTCATTTCTTCAGTTCCACCTTACGCCTTTCCAGTCACTAAGGTTGTATTTAGTAAGCTGAAACATAAATCATTCACATATATGAGGTAATTATTTATGAAAAATCTGCATATTTTCTTTCGCTCTGGATAAAGGTGATTTGGAAAAATATTTCTTATCAATTGCCACTGAATTAATCTAAAATTATTAACAGTTGAGTGTTTGAGCCTGCTCAATATCCCCAGACAAAACTTCTACTGATTTCAATTGATCTTGGCAGAATTAGTCCCCTTAATATTTCACTTGTAGCAAATGAGAAGCTGCAAACAAGGGGGAAAAAAGTCCCTATTTGTTACATGTTGAGAAATTAATTGATAATTTCAGTAAATGGCATTAATGAGTGAGAATGGAGAGGGGTGTGAGGCTGATGTGAATGTCTGTATAATACCAGTTAACATTTTCATGCCTAAGGACAACTCCTGGAATTGCTTATGGGAAGGGGAAGAAAAACAGAATAAAATAAAATAACCTCACAACAGTGTAAGGATCTAACACTGTAGTGTAATATCTGCTTCATCGAAGTTCCTGTATGTCTGTTTTCTCTTATTTAAATAATTTACTCATTTTACAGTTTCTTCATACATATCTATATTTTTCATTCATTTTCATTTAATATTAATTAGATATCGTTGCGATGAGATGGTTTTAGGAAATGGGCTTGTGCTCTAGAGTGTGAGGAAAATCTTGAATGCTATTATTTTATACCACTGAAAAGTAGGTAGGCCCTGACAAAACTCAGTCTCCTATTTACAACTACCACATGACTACCCACATTAGCCATGGAGCTAACCTTAATGTACTAACATAACTAGCCTGACAAAGCATCTAGTCTGAACTGTAGATGTGATGAAACTAAAGATTTATCAGAGGGAATCTCAGGATACCACGCAGTCCTCCTCTGCCAAAGGCAGATACCGTTAGCTCTCTGTCCTTCCTGGCAGTTGTTGAATTATGCTCTTCTAGCTGAAACATTTTGAGTGATAAAAAAATCTACAGTTCACTTTTGAAATAGGTATGATGAGAATATTAAGGGAAGAATAAAAAAGGGTAAGAACATTATAGTCAGACTGTAACACAGTTCATATCTAAGTCATAATGATTTGACTAACAGGAAAAATAAGGAAGACAAGGAGTCATGTAAGTGCTCCTTGTGGCTTCTTGTGCCAATAGACACATTTCCTGGCCCTTGCACTGCTCCGGAGGGACATATGTCTTGTGTCATGTCTATTAGTCCTGTGTGGGTGCCTCACATACCCAGGGGTCTTAATAATGCACCATAAGCTTGTGTGTAGTCAACTGAGCTGAAGCCGAGCGAACTGCTTCAGCTGTGAGTTGAATTGGTCCTGAGGCTTCAGTGACTGCATTGCCTGACTCTTCTTTGACTGTAATGGCAGCCTTGACTGCTGGCTGGCAGATGGACACCTATATATAATCATCTCCATTTGGATATCTCACTCCATAGATGACTTTGTGAGCTTTGGCAAATAAGCGTAGAGGTGACATATCATGACAAGAAAAAGCGTACATTCATGTGTAGCTGAACAGATTTCCTATGTCACACACACACATTCGCATTTGCATACGTCAGGCCTTCATTAGCACGTCTTGTTATGCATTAAGATTCTTCTGTCTTATTCTTATAAAAGTCACGTCTTTTTGAAGTGGCCTGCCTTGTTCTGCTTTTCAGCAAATGCTGAGACATGGAGCCAGGTGACAGAGGTCTCGTCTGTCTTTAATGGAATCAGCACTTCAGCCAGTCTAAATGTCATTAAGAACCAAACAGCTGAGGCTTTTTTATTGTTGCAGACTCTGTTCTTTAACTGTGCTGAATTAGATGCTCACTTAATAGGGGATTCCCACATCATCGGATAGGCAGGTACTACTGGTGCAAGACTGCATGATAAATGTTGAATGTAAAAATGTAATTACGATACTAAAATGTGATACTACTTGAGACATGTCTTTCTTTCCTGGAAATTGACTGGTTTTCCCTTTTTTTTTCTCTATTATATTATGAGGTTATCAGTCGTAATGTATTTGTAGTGAGTCTGAATGGAGTTAAAGAGCTGCCTTTTGCTTTACTTCACCTCAGTCAAACCAATATGACATTATAAATGCTCTTTTTACTTTGTAGATGTAAAAGCAGACATCACTTAGAATATGAATCAACTGGATGGCACTATTAGAAAAGCCAAAGAACTTTGGAATCTGTGTTTTATAACATCTTTATCTTTTTGCATTTCGTCTAACCAGGGAATATAGAGAGAAACTTAAGGAAGAACACTAACAGTTTGACATGCACTGATTTATGTCGTTGAGTCCTTGCTACTTGTTGCTTAATTTTAATAACTTTATGGAAAAATAATGGGTGGGAAGTGCAGTAAAATCAAATCTCTAATTCTTTCCATTGAGGTGGAAATTTGTAAAAAAAATAATGTTTTGTTGGATTTTAATATGTACAATTTCAGTTGCAACCATATGAAGGATACCCAGTGTTCACTTGTATGGGTCTGCAGAGGGGTTGAAGAGAAGGGGACAAGGAAAGAGGAGAGTTATGTATGAATTTTGACATTTTAGAAGCGTGATTTCAGTCTTGAATTTCCTTGTGAAATTTGGGCAGCGAGGCATCGCACACTGATATGGTATTAGCTAGTAATGGTATTAGCTGGAGACTCAGTCAAAGCTTCAAACACAGCCAACTCCTACTGATGGTTTAAGGAGATTTCAGGGTGAATCAGCTTGCTTTGGCCCTGCGCCCAGAGCAGATTTTACCCTCACTGGCGTGTTTAAAGCTTCAGCTGACTTCTGCAAAATCTTTGGGTACCAGTGTATAAGTTCCCTGTGCCACTCTAGGATTTGTAAAGCCTTGTCCGAGGTTGACTACAAAGCTTCATTCTTCCTAGGCAAAATCTGGAATGGAGTCCCATTCATTTGGCCAGGACTCAATTCCTGAGCCACAGTCAATGTTCACATTTGCTCCTATAGCCTACTTAAAGTTGTCTCTTCCCCAGCTGGTTTAGTGCATCCCTGCTTCTTTGATTAGCGCAGCCTCCACCACAGGTCACCAGAGAGAAAGAGAAGAGAAAAAATGTAATAAATACCATGGGCGAAATTTTGCTGTCATCTAATGAACTGGTTTTACAGATCCTTATCCTATTCCCCAGTAATGACTGGTCTTCATTTTAGTGTTCTGACAATGGAGCCTTTACTGATTGAGTGCTAATACTGCACTTATTATTTCAGTGATTCTCCATCATAAAAACATTTCCCTGACTCAACCTGTAATAGTGTCTGCCCCTAGACACTTGCAGCTCTGTCCTCATATTATCATGGTCTTTGGTCCTGTGCGTTGGTTGCCTCCTGTGAGTGCCAAGCCAGCAGGATACATTGGGCCATTTTGCATCTAACCTTAGTCTCACTTGGTTTGATTGTCTGGGCATGGCAAAAGTTTTGGCAGCTCAGGTGTTTCTAAAATAATGATTCAATCACACAGTAATGCGCTGTTTCTGTATATAAGGATACTGTTAATATGTATTTCAGAAATTTAATTCAGCATTTGCTCCTAGGATGAAGGATATCTCTATCTGGATGCCAAATAAATGTCATTTCTCTACAGTGCAAGTCTAATGCAAGACACCTTCTTTGGTATCCTTGGTATGCAGGTGCTTGCTCAGCTCCTATAGATGTTGGGAATGCTTGAGTGTGACAGTGGAAACTTGAGGTGGAAAGGGATTATCAGTGGGGGGAAAGAGGTCTTTCATTTATTTCCAGTGTAAAAAGGGGGCAGAAAGGATGCCCTGGAGGAACATAGTCTAAAATGGGTTATTCATTATCTCAGCTGGTGTTTCTGAATCCTTGTCCTATCTTCCAGCCTAACTCTGATGAAACCTCTCTCACCATCAGCAAGGACATCTCTGACTAGCTTAACACAAAAATCACTATGTTCTTTTTCACTGAAAATGTAAAAATACTTTGTTTCAAAGGTGAAATAAGTCAAGATCGTACTAATCACAAGCAAGAAACATCCAGCAACAAGTTTTTAAGTTTTTCTTTCAGTATGTTTTTTTCAACCACTTTAACATCCACCTTAAAATTATGAAAAAAATAACTGCAGATCTTTTATTTCTCTTTGATGCATTTACATTTAGGAACATCATTGTCTCAGAATAAAGATCCTGGGGGACTGTTACTACTGTGTGTCGGGGCTCCCAGAACCTCGCCAGGACCATGCACACTGCTGTGTTGAAATGGGGCTCAGCATGATCAAAACTATCAGGTAATGCTTTTTTTTTACCCTTCTTCCTCTTGTTTCACTGTTTCTGACAGCGTCCTGAACTTCTTATCTGAGAAAGCTATTACTAGACAAGTAATTCCTATGGTGGTTCAAAGACTTCAGGATCATCACTGTGAAAAGGGCAGGACTTTTTTGATCCATGTAATGCATGGGAACAGATACTAAATGCATTTTACTAACCTGTGCTGCTTCAAAGCCTGTAGCACCATAGCTGTGTGTGCATTATGAGTGATAGTTTTCACAGTTAACAGTTCTTATTTTCTACTGTTATTTTTAAGGGGATGTTCAGGAGGAGGAGATCAAATTGCTTCTTATAATCCCTTTAATAAAATAGAACAGTAATATAAACATCAAAGAGACAGCTGTGGCAGTACTTTAGATTGGAAATTCGCTCACAGACAAATTCTTGGGTACTAAGATTTGCCAGATGAGCATATTTTACATGTTAAATTAGGTTGGTGCTTATGTCCACATGCACTGGAAGAGATTTAATTAAGGGATATGTTCCCATCATGTAAACATAGTTGTGTTGTTGATAGGTTATTGTATTTTGATGCAATTAGGATTAATAATACCAATGTTTCAGCAGTTCACGTATAGAGTTAGTCCAATGAATTACCGTGACAGTGGCTGACATCTAATGCTCCAAGAGAGGTTTTCTGCATCTTTTTTATCCTCTATACCCATGTTGCTGAGTTCCCCTTCTCCAAATCTTTCTTATGTTGATGTCTTCCCTAAAACAGTGTTGCCTAAGCTGAGCACTCTCCTCTTTCCATGGATGTTTTGCTGTCCAATCTCTCTCCGCTTCTTTTCCAGACTGCTTTGCCCTTTTAATCTGAGTATGTCTCGTTATGTACATCAAAGAGTTAATGCATACTGCAGCTACATTACTGAGATCTTACCAGAGAAAGAATCTGCCAAAAATTAATTAATGGAAAATATAACCGAATAATGATTATGCAACAATGTTCTCTAAGAAGGTTGATTCAATGATCACAGTCTAAATGTTGCACAAAGTAATCAGTAATTTGCTTCTCGAATCCCCACAGTGAAAGTGAAACATGAATTAGAGAACACAGAGATGAAAAAAACCTATGAGCATTGTTAGAATTCTTGAAGGCACACATCAAAAAATCATTTGCATTTACTTGGCAATACCATCTGCAACAAAACCATTGTAAGTCATTTTTCTTCTAAGATAGATAGTAAATTTCTCTGAATCTTCTTACACATGTGGAAGTCTCTAACACACCGGTGCCCTTTTATGAACCGGTTCTCAAAGGCAGTAATCCAGTAAAAGTTGTACTGTATTCTTAGGGTCTTAAATGACAGTTATATTAGTCGGAGCTGGGAAACCAAAGTCCGTTAGGACTTGGGTCATCCCAGGATGGTTCAGTTCAGATTGCCTCCAATTTATTTGATAATCCCAGTATCTGAATTTCTGGCTGTTCAATGAGCATGATTTCTCTCCCCAGGCTTTCCTGTTCAGAGTATAGGAGACTTATGTTTCTTATCTTAACGTGTGCTCGTGTAGTTCACAGGGAGGACTAATCCTTCCATGGAATATTACAAGTACTTCAGTCCACATTTCTGAGAGAAATTGGGGTTATCTACAGTCTATTAATTAGAACTTAAATCAGTAGATAACTCTCACAATTAAAATTAAGAAAAGAACCCTTCTTTAGAAAACTGAGTTTCTGCTGTATCCGTCACTGCCGAATTTGATCAGATTAAAAACCTGCTAGAAATGACATTTTGAAGATTACAAAATTTTTTATATTCATCTAAAGTATTTTGTACGTCCAAAATAATAGGGAGATGGTCCAAGATATGAGAAACCATCATTCAGACTTCACATTTACATTGAAGATATATAGATGAACTCAAAGCCTTCTTGCAAATCAGAGGATGTTTACATGAAACTTCCAAAAATTTCACTACTTATAAAGCCTACATGAACAGTTGTTTCTTCTCCCTCTTGCAGACTTATGTCTTAGCTTTTAAATCTTAGCTATATTTTAGTTCAAGAATTTAGCCTAGCTTAAGAATTAGACATTAAAACAAAATCCAGGATTTATGCTACAACATCCCACCTACAATTGCGTTTTAGGCAACTAAATTGTGGAGAGCAATCCAGGTTCTTTTATAACTTCTGATTCTTGTACTGTTTTAAGGTGTTTTTTGTTTGTTTGTTTGTTTGATTTTGGTTTTTGTTAATGTGGAAGGAAGTTTTATATTAGGCAGATTGGATTTTCCCCTGCAGGTCCTCCAAGATTCCTGTTCTTTCCATTGACAACAGGTAGATGGTAACATTGTAAGGTTCAGCACCAACACCTCTGGTGAGGTGGTGCCCAAAAATCAGCCATCTCAGAGTACCACTACTGAATTTTCCTT